TATATATATTTTTTTTTTAAATTCAGTTAGTATTATGTTTTGTTCATTTCACTCTTTGTGAACCAGCACGGTTTTAAACACGTACTCAGAATTCGTTTTTGATGGGACATAGTTTAAGTATGAAAGTCTGGATAAAACGATTAAATTATATTATTGTTGTGCATATAATAATTAAAATAAAATGTTAATTAAAAAACATCAACCCAGAGTCTACAAATAAATCAAATATTGTTTTTAAGATTTGTTTTGTATTTATTTTGGCCATGACTTTTATTTTGACAAGGAATTTATTGGTTGTACGCGTCTAGACGCTTCTGTACACCGAATTCATCAGTACACACTAGACGCTACGCCTAAAAGAATATTTAACTGTCAGGCCTATTATTGTCCTGCGTTTGACTTTGTATTGTTTTTGAAGTTGAACGTCGCAAATCGAAGTATCATTGATGTCTCATTTTAAAAGACGGGCATTCAAGCTTGTAACTGAAGTTGGAGTTTGACTCCATTGGTGTGTGCTGATTTTTTTCTTCGGAGTACTGCTTACTTTGATCGAATGAGATCGTCTAGAATTCAGACAGCAGGATCGATCTAACTGTACCGGACAGAGACATGTGGAAGAGGGTCTCTCATGAACTCTTGGGTCTTCATGTGTATTTCAGGAGCAGGGTATAGGTGTGGATTTTGGAATCTCGACCATGGGCTCTCTAAAAGCTTTGCAGAACTGGTGCAGGAACCAGTGTGAAAATTACAATAATGTGGACATTACAAACATGTCTTCATCCTTCAGAGATGGACTGGCCTTCTGTGCCATCATCCACAGACACAGACCTGATCTCATGTGAGCACTTCTTTGACACTTCATCTTTAATTTGTTTGCATTTCCCACTTATCTGAAGATAACATACCTCACAAAATGTCATCTCAACGATCTTAATTCAGGACAGCTTTAACTAAAGGAAACAATGTTTCCTTACATGATTAATGGAAATGTAGGTTGTGTTGTGCTATTGTTAGGTGTGACTTTAAGTAAACAGGAAGTGACACGCAGTTTGATTCACATCGGGAATAGTTTAGCCCTGAATAGTCATCATTTACAAACCTTCTTGCCAGCCCAATTTCTTTATCGATGGAAAGATATTATGAACATAATGAAGAATTTCAACAATTATACCCTGACCACCTCTGCTGTATTTCAACGTGTATGTGAATTTAAATAGGTCCACAATGAGAAAATAAAGATATATTAATTTTAATAAATTTAGCTTGATTTTAAAATGTAAACCAAAAGTTTCATACAATTTAATTGCTATTATTACATTTTATTTCAACTCTAAGACATACCAGCAGATAAAGGCTTAATACAAAAAAGTTGTATTACTTTTAAAGTGCCAGTTTAATTTGACCTGTATTCTAGTGTAATTCTAAATGCCAACAAAACTAGATTTGATATGCAGTAATAGGCTTTTAGACAAGAATAGCCCTTCCCCTTTAAATTAGAAATACCACCTGTCTCAGACTAAAGCTAAATTTAAATTGGCCACTTCACTAATTTACTATTTTCTATGAAAGGCACCCTAGTTGTGCACTATATGGGGAATATAGGAGAGCAATTTTTCAGACACTAAATATGATTTCCATTTAGGTGAATGAAGCCTGGTTTCACAATAGTGTCTTAAGAACTATTGCAGTACACATCAATGTGGTCCAGACATTTACCTGGGTTAACCAGGCTTCCTTCGATAATGTGTTGCACAATGTATCTATGTATCTAACCTTTTGGGTTTCCCACTTCATGTTTTGCTGTCACAAAACACAAAGCCACAGATTTAATGACTTGTTCTAGATTCCTCAGGCTATCTGTCATTATCTGCTGGGTAGATCATATGTTGTACTGTATGTAATGCTGTGATGGACATGTTGAGTCATGCTGGAGACACTCAGTCAGTCCTGAGTGCCACTCTGTTGAGTTCAAGAAAACTTGTCAGTATACTAAGGATATAAAGAATCTTGATTGAAGTTTTGTTGTTCTAGTTCATACATTAATGCATAAAGTTCATTTTAAGATAAGAAAAAAAATATATGTGATCAGATATATATATTGGGATCAGATTACACTCACAGTAACATATACTGTATGTGCTGCTTAAATATAGATGCCAGACAGGTGATTTCTGCAACAGCTGTTCTTTACTTGTCTCACTCACAAAACCAGATTGAGTATTCCTCAAACAAAACACACCAAACTTTGCACTCTATAGTACAGGCGTGAATTTGAGTTTCCTTAAGCCAACCGCATATTTTGTTTCACTCTTGATGTGAATAGACCATTCACCGCCATTTTGCTTCTCTGCAGTTTGCAAAACCTTAAAGGGGTCATATGATGCGTTTTCAAGTTTTCCTTTCTCTTTGGAGTGTTACAAGCTGTTTGTGAATAGATAAGATCCCTAAAGTTGCAAAGACTAAAGTCTCAAACCCAAAGAGATATTCTTTATAAAAGTTAAGACTCGTCCACGCCTTCCTAAAACACCTCGTTTAAACACGCCCCCACATGTCTACGTCACTGTGTGGGAAGATTTGCATAACACTGCCCAAATGTTCACGCAAAGAAAGAAGGAGTAACTTCGATTCTCGCTGTAGTATTGTTGCTGCCACCGCCATGTCGTGGAGACACTGTGTTTCCGTGTGAAAGCGAAACTACTTTGTTTGGCCTTCCAAAAGAGGACACAACTAGAAATCAGTGGTTAATTTGTATTTACAACACTGTTCCAGAACAGTTCAAACCAAATAATCAGATGTGTGCAGCGCATTTTACGGAGGACTGTTTCCTGAACCTGGGAAAGTAGCCTACAATGCCGTCTACACACAAAGGCTTTTCATATTTGCCACTGATGATTCAAACGTGAGTTTTGAGCAGTGTAGAGTAGCGCATGTTGTTTGTCGTGTTTGTCGTCACAAATGCAGACATGGTTTTATGTTTACGCG